GAGAGTGAGAGAGAGAGAGAGAGAGAGAGAGAGAGAACAAAAGACAAAGACTCGTGCATTGTACCAACACGTGGGTGGCCTCGTTGCGATATTGAAATCGCGAGGGAAAATGACGTGTGGCGAGTATTAGCTGTCGATTCGACAAAGGGCGGCATCATTTATCGATCATTGAGGGGCCGATAAGTGGAAGCCTTAGCTTACTCAAGGCCGCATACTCTGGACGATAAACTCGAAAAGGCGATTCTCGATTACCTTGTTAAACTGCTACGCATCAGCTTAAGAGAGCTACGCCATAATATGCGAAAGCTTGCGTTTGCGGAGCTGCAAAGATTGTTAACTCTGCGCACACGTGAAATTGGCTTTTGTGAAAATTGTTAACGGACTTGCGCAAATTGAAGGAGCTAACCGCGCAACGCTGACACTACAATAGAGACAGAGCGAATGAGAAAAAACGAGAGATAGAGAGAAGAAATACGATAAATTTACTCTTAAATATAACCAAGTTATTATTATTATTATTATTATTATTATTATTATTATTATTATTATTACATTGTATGGCAGTGTATACACCATGTCTCAACTTCTTTATCTGCATTACCAGTTCTTCAACATATGCTAATGTCCTATTATTATCAAAGATAATAATCACTATTCACTGGGATGCTTTAGAATAATATTCCGATACATTTATGCTTTATATACACAGAATATTAAAGGATGGCAACTATTAGTTAACGTAATGCTGCTAATTCGTTTATTCTAATAACATTATCATCTCCCTCAGAATGAAATGATAATGTCATTGAGTTCGTTCTAAATCATGAGACTTTATGGGGTAGCTTGACATAACTTTATTATCACTCTGTGTTATATATTTTTTCTCGTGTCATGTGCATGTATTTTTATAGCACTTTAGTAAAGATTTTGTAATTTTAAAATGCCTACAATACTACAACCCAAATGTAATAAAAGCAAACTGTATTTCACGTAAATTTAAAAAATATTTTACAATTTAATAATATTGTACAATAAAATTTTTATGTCAAAAAAAAAAAAAAAAAAAAAAAATTGAACGTATTGAATATCTAGTATTTATCGCATATAGTTTAGCATATAAATTAACAAAAGTGATTATAAATTTGCATTGTTAAGTCGTAAAAGGATACATTTTGACGTTTCGTAAAGTTGCAAATTCCAAATTATTCTTTAAAGCTACCGATATTATTGTTAGCGACATATAAAAAAAAAAAAAAAAAAAAAAAAAAAAAAAACACCTCAACGATAACAAAAATATCAAACTTTTGGCAATACACATCGAGCATATAAAATAAATAAAAAGATCTTGATTTTATTAAAATATCGCTGAAAAAAAAAACATGTCGCTAATTATTCAAATTCACAATATTCAGTATCGATAGAATTCAAAATCGGCATAGTATTATACGCTCAAAGTGCTGAAAAACTCGAGAAACTATAGTAACGATAAAAAAAAAAAAAAAAAAAATAAAAAACCAATAGTAACTGACATTTTCCATCATTAATATAAATATAAGAATAATGACAAATGATAATAAAAGATGCGACAATACCAGAGAAATACGAGATTCTGTAATTTTCTTTCTTTTAAATGAAATTTTCACAGTTATAGAATAGTATTCTGCGTTC